CACTGCACTGGGAGGACTTTAAAGGGGTTTTATCACCTAAAGAGGATGGCAAAAATTACTTGAGCTCCAGGAAAACAGTGCAAACCCAACACTGCAGTCAATGCTGGGTAATAGAAAAACACAGGTTTTCTTTGAGTCTTGAAGCTTCTCAGGTCACTTAAGTATGTCTCTTGCTGCCTCCTGTTGTTTTCCCTCCCTTTACTGCAAGCATGGGAAGAAGGAGGGAAAGGGAGGAACAGAGGGAAAGAGGGAAGGGAAGGGAAGGGAAGGGCAGGTGGATAAGCGAGGAAAGTGGGGATTCAGATCCCAACCTGAGGGAACCTGGGATCACTAGCATTCACTAATGTTCCCTTCAGGAGTGGGGGTAGAGAGTAAACTCTCTGGGTTAACAGGGAGGGGCGGAGCTGGAGACTACACTGTATGTTACAGAGGTCTCTGTCATCTGTGACATTCTGATATAAGATAATGCTGCTTGGATGTCATCTGTCCTTAAAGAGCTATAGGCCAAGACATTTCTTTTCTCAAGGAGACATATTCTGGACATTCTAGAACAACCGCCTTCGGGGCTTCCCTGCCACCAGCTCTCAGGGACCAGACTTCTGGCTGCCTGAAGCTCCCACAGCACAGGTGCACGGGGCTGCTCTAGTGACTTCCTGGGGAAGGACGGCCACCCAGACTGTCGCACCTCACAGACCTGGGCCTGGCCCTGCTCTGTCTGGCTGTGCCCCCCAGTGCTTTGGTTTTCTTTCCTTCCTGACTCAAAGGGCTTCTCTGGAGGTCCCCAACATCCTTAAAAATGTGTTGACACCATAATGAATGCAGAAGCAGGGACACCAAGACTTTGGCAAGGGGTGGGAGAAAAGACACTTGCTACTCTTTAACGGGTGTTAAAGCTGCTTCCTGCTGCTCCGTTAGCCAAAGTAGGTGAGTTTTCATTCTGCCACTTCGCAGAGAAAGCTGATGGTGCCTGCAGAAGTGTCAAAACCTCACTCACATGTTTACCACCAGTGACAAAAATCTTTTTTTTTCATGTTCTTCTTAACACGGGAACTTTCGTTAATAAAGTAACACATACTTTTTTTTTCAAAAGGAGATGTGGTGAGTCCCACTCCCAAGGGGGGAAAATGAAAACCAGGAAAAAGGAAAACTCAGAAACAAGTTATGTTTTTCCTCCTTGTGGGGGAGAAATCTGCCCTCTATTTTGGGTCAACTATTTGAGGCTAGCCTGACCCAAAGTATGGCCAAGTATGGTCCTTTGTAACAGGACAAGATTCAGGTTAGGATGCTAGAAACAAGCCTGTCTTGTCGTTTGGAAAAAAATCATCTTGATGTAGATGAGGCACACTGCCCCTGCCAGGGAAGGGGTCAGCTAACCTGAGGGTTCTATTTGACCTTTGCCCTTACGGTTCAAGAGGCCAGGGCAGCCAGGGCTGATGTGAGAGCTGTGTGTTCAGTCTTAACAAGGATTAAAGGGAGTGACTCATTCGTCACAGCCCACACAGTGCCACTTCCCTGGCGGCAGAAGCCTTGCAGAAAATGGTGCCTTGGAGAGGAAAGGGAGGAGAGAGAAAAAGAGAGGGAGGGGACACCAGTCTGGGCCCCTGATGTTGCATCCCGTATGACACCATGCCACAGGGGATGCTCTGTTTTCCTTCCCGAGACCCCAGGGCTTTCCAGCACAATGGTTGGCTCAGGTAATTGATCCAAGGAGTTTCCCTTTTAAATGATTTTTCTTTCTCTTTTGGTGTGTGTATGTGCATATCCTGGTGAGTGTGTGTGTGTGTGTGTGTGTGTGTGTGTGCAAGTGGAGGCCAGAGGTCTACCTTGGGTGTCTTCCTCAATCATTTTCCCTCTTATCTTTTTGAGACAGTCTTTCACTAAACCTAGAGCTTCCAGTTTGGCTAGAGAGGCCTGCCTGTTTCTTGATGGTATTACACAAGCTTTCATGTGGGTTCTGAGGGGGGTGGACAATGAATGGATCCTCATACTTGTGTAACCCCACCCCCTCTCTGAGACAGGATCCCACTATCTGGCTCTATCCTGCCCTGCCCAGAACTCTTTTTTTTTCTTTTTCTTTTTCTTTTTTTCTTTTTTCTTTTTGGTTTTACAGGACAGGGTTTCTCTGTATTGTTTTGGAGGCTGTCGGTCCAGCCCGGCCTTGAACTCACAGAGATCCGCCTGCCTCTGCCTCCCGAGTGCTGGGATTAAAGGCATGCACCATCAATGCCTGGCTACTACTAGGGCTTTTACCTTGCATCGTTGAGGGCTCTGGGAGTCATCCTCCAAACAAACAAAAACAAGCAAACAAAAAAACCCATCTCAAAACTTGGCACTGGTGTATGGCACAAATACTCTATCTTTAGAGTCTTGAGAAGAGGCTGTCAGAGTTCCACAGTCAGGTCGTTTTAAACACAAGCTGTTTCTGCCTGACATTTCTAATCCATCTCCCATAGATGGGAGGGACCTTCTGGCCATTTCATAATCTATTTAGTTTTCTCACTCATAGGTGAGTAAACAGAGGACCAGAAAGCATTCTGAGATTTATCTAGATGGCTGAGAAACAAAGGTGTTTTCTTAATCGTGTTATATTACCACATTTAAAAAAATGGGAAAAAAGAAGCCCTCAATTATTCTGGGCCCTGAAGCTGTTACTTCAGGTAAAACCAAGACCAAGAGCCACTCTGCCCAGCTGATACACCCTGGTGAATCCACTGGGCTCTACAGTTAGTTCCAAGTTTAGGATCAGGCAGACAGCCCTAGGCTAACTCCTGGGACACTAAATGAAACCAAACTGTTGAATATGGGCAAGAGGTCTGTAAGAGGGGGACAACTGGCAGGGGTGAGGGTGTCCATAAGACAGAGCAGAGAGGAGAGTAACCAGGTACGTAGATGAATACGAATTTGTCAAAGAACAGGCTTCGCTAATAAACAAAGAGAGCTAACTCTGCCAAGTTCCCGAGCCCAGAAGATGCAATGGTTCAGAAAAGAGAGAAGCTGGGCCTTCCAAGGTCCACATCTGTAGAGTGTCCAAAGATGGTCTGAAAACCTACAGTCAGAAATCACCGGATGGCTCTCTGAGGTAACAGCAGAGCCAAGTTGGATTTGGACATAGGAAACATGAAAACAAACAAACAAAAACCTACCACAGTAAGTAGGGCTTTGCCTCAGTCATTGGGTTAATCCAGTGAGGACTAGGTACCCTCTCTCAAATTTTAGTTCTCTTCAGTCCAAGAGCACTGACTAAAACTGGACTGAAAGTAAGACTCATGACTTGGATTTCCTCGCCCCTCTCTTCCCATGCCCCTCCCACATCAGCTTCAGCCATTTCTAGAGGCCAAACAGTCCCCCAGTTAAGATTCCCTTGTGGAGACTGATGACCCGGGCCTTCTTTTGCATTCCCAGTGTCTAGTCACACAAGTAAGATCCAAAGATACACGATGCTCCGGCATCCTTACTGACCTGCTATGTTTAGTCTTCCTGTGGAAGTCACCACATGCCCCCTTGACATGTCGCCAAGGGGAGGTAAAACAATTAGGAGAGGAAAAACCCCCTAACCCGAAACACACCAGCTTCAGTCTGACATGATTTATTGGTGGGTTCATTGACTGACTGACAGATCTCTTTTTAAAGATAGGGTCTCTCATCTAGCCCAGGCTGTCCCCAAACTCACTATGTGGTGAGGATAGCCTTAAACTCCTGGTTCTCCGCCTCTACCTTCCAAGTTCTGGGGATGTAGGAAAAATCCACCATACCCTTGGATCACAACTCATTCATCTGTCATCTTTTCTTCTGGAGACAGAGTCTCTCTGTGTAGCCCTGGCTGGCCTGGAACTCACTATGTAGACTAGGGTGGTCTCAAACACATCTACTTGTCTCTGCCTTGTGAGTGCTAGGATTAAATATCTGTGCTACATTTTATTCTTGAAGTGACTAAAAGAACACAAAAGATGTCCAGCTAATAACAGTAAAATAAATAAGCAGAAATACCAATTTCAGTAATTTCAAAATCTATGGGTTCTTTCAATATGTAGTTCAAATGAATGTCTACTTATAAATTGTTACCTATACCAGAGTAAACTTAGAGTTAAAAGTAGACAGGTAATTGGTATGTATAAAAGTTACTGCAAAAAATAAATACAAGAAGACTAAAGTAAGAATTCAGAAGCAGCAAGCAGCTTTACAAAAAGATATCGACAAATTTAAAAATACTGGTGCTGAGGAAGGTTTTTACTCACGTGATTACTATTTTTGTTCAATACCACCAACTTTCAATTTATAATAAAACTGACACATTCAGCTAAGCTGCTTACAACTACATATCTATTTCAGATACCATGGTCACAAGGGTGTAAACATCTGGGCAAATCACGAAATAGCCCCGCCATTTGTAAGTCCCCAACACTTTAATGGACATATTGTCTCTTAGTCATCTCGTTCTGCAGTAGCTTTTGACAATGTGAAAACCAACGACATAAAAACTAACTTCAGCAAGACAAGTGATCAAGTCAAATTGGGTTATTTAAATCCACGTTTTTCTCCAGCCACTTTCTGTTAAAGTGAGCTCTCAATCAAATTCAAGAAAATATGGCAATATGTTTTAAAACATTAAAAAAAGTTAAAGCATGCTAACAGAACCAACTTGTAACATATCATTGCAAAATTTTACCAAGATGCTATCTTGAACATTTTACTGGTGTAAGTTGCATAAATCTATGCAACAGATGCTATTCAGAGCGAAGAGGAAGGAACAGCATCCTTAACACCAGCTCCACTTAAGAAACTGTACCAAATGCTCCCCTGTTTTGTAGCTAAGGCTCCTCAGTTAATATTTTTAATACTATATGCTAGAGCCATCGAAATCAACCAACCACAGACTAAGAGCACAATGGAAACCTTGTTTTAACACACTGCACTAGGAGAGGCATGTGCAACGAACATCTACATGTTATCTCAGTCAAGTTATCTGCTAGCAGCAGCAAGAAAGGGCCGCGCATTCTTACCAATGAATTTCTGAGGCATTGAGCTTTTTCGTTTTGCCACATTGCTTGCTAATCTGTCCAGAATGAGCGCTCTTTCACTTCCCATGTCCGCTTTGATGTGTCTTGCCTCCACACTTGCTGGTTTGGAAGAAGAGGGAGAACACATTGGTAAATGGGGAGAATGGGCAAGGGAAATCAGCTGGAGAAGCACCCAGGGGCTGAGGCACAGGGTTGTCATTACCTGTTGCTCCTGCTCGGTTTCCTGCCCTGGGTACCTGCTGTGGTCAGTGAGACCGATTCTGGGGCACATTCAAATCTTGCAGTCTTATGCTGAGATGGGAAAGCCCGACCCATCCCCAGCTAGTATGTTCATTAGCAAGAGGAAGTGTTGAAGAAACAGCTTGGACGTGGTTGGTTGCAAAAAGACAGATAGATGGAGGCCTTTAACCTCAGCAGCCTTCGTTCTGATTCTGAGTAACTGCATGTGACACCTGCATACTAATATAATTCTTAACAGCTTTGAAAAAAAAAGAGGCACGGTGCCCCAGATTTGCTGCTCTGTTTATGTTAATAGCACTTTTGAAAATAGATACATTCACCCAGATAGCAAGAAATCTACTCAGTGATTTGGGTATTGAAATACTGAGTCATTTTTTTCTTCACTACGTTTCTCTCGGTTCTTATCTTTCAAATTCCGTTTCTCTGGGTTCGGTGTGTTGCTTCATATGTTCTCCACATCTCAAAGTTGTTTCCATCAAAGTGTCCCTGAGCCACACTGCTGTCTTACAATTAGAGAGCCAGCTGTGTACTGCATTTCTATTAGGCTTCTAATGAAAAATGAGAAAGGGAGCTGCGTGAGAATGCGGATTGGTTATCAACCCACGGATACACATCTGAGTGGCACGGACTCGACTTCTTGGACCTGGCTGTAAATTAGTAGAGCCTAGTTGCCTGGTGCACACGTAGGAAATACCTATAGGTAGGTCCCCTTTCACTCTGCAGGGGGCCGGGACGACAGTACTTCCAAAGCTCCCCAGATGATTTTAAAGGCAGCTACAACAGGATGAGGTGGTGTATGCCTGTTATCCCAATATTAGGAAACTGAGGCAAGAGGATCGCCATGAGTTTGAGACTCACTGTGTAGCCCAGGCCATCCTAGGCTACCATGTGAAACTGGGGAAGGAGAGCAGCTCAGTATTTCAGTGCACTAGATGAATACAGGCATAGTGCCAATACACTTAAGAGGAACAGAGATAATTCACTTTGATATAGCTGACATAAATATAAGGCCTCAAACCTCATAATACTGGAGTCAAGTAAATAATTTTGGTAAAAGACCAAAGAGCAAATACTTTGTATGATCATTTGTAATCATTACTATATTTGAGGCAGGGTCTTTCTGTTACATAGCTCCAAGGCTGGCTTCAAATGCGTGATCTTGCTTCAGCCTCTCAAGTACTGGGATTACACATTGGAACTACTATACTCATGCTGGTAGTAACTATTTTTAAATTTGTGGGACACACAGTTCCTCTCTATATTAGTACTTTCTGCTCCACATCTCTTTTAAAATAGAAAAACTGGACTAGAGAGATGTCTCAGCCAGTGACATACTTGCTATAGAAAAGCATGAGTATTGAATTTGGATCCCTAGGACCCACTTAAAGAGCCCAAGCCTGTAATCCCAGCACTGGGGAATCAGGGACAGCAGCATCCGAGAGGCAATCTAGCTGAATCAGCAAGTCCCAGGTTCAATGAGGGACTCTGTTTCAAGAAATAAGGTGGACAGTGATTGAAGAAGACATTAAAAGTCTATTTCTGGCCTCCAGGCACACCTGTACACACATAAACGTGGACACATTCATATATCACACACACATATACACACAATAAATAGTAAAAACCCTGTATACACACACACACACACACACACACAGAGTAAAAAAATATAGAATGAAAGAAAGAAATAGTAAAAACCCTCTATACAAACATGTTGCTGGCTGCATTTGACCCCAGACACATGGTGTACACACCTTTGCCCTAGTAAACATATCGTGATACTATGAACATATCTCTGTCTGAGCACTTCGGAAAGTCTAAAGTAAAAACCCACACATTTCTAATATGTCTAAGGAAGAAGGAAATGTAATTCGTTTAAGGGACTAGAGATAGCTATAGAATGAGGAATTCCTGGCCTGGTGCACACACAGGGTTAGTAACTGTCTGCACCCGTCCTGTAGTTGAAGAGTTTGAGGTTTCTGCCATACGAAGGAATTCCAATATACAGAATTGTCACACATTCTATGGTCTGCCAGACACATGTCCAGAGAAAAGGTCACTGGCTACCTTTGCAGGAAAGGAATGGTCCAGAAAGATCTTCAGGGCAAGACAGTCAGGCTGGGCCAGAGAGAGTCAATGTCAGATCAGAAAATGATCATTCCAAGTATTAATTGTTTTCCACTTCATTACCATCATCAAAAAGAGCTCTATTTCAGGTGCTATACAATGTAAAGCTTTGTGTGTGTGTGTGTGTGTGTGTGTGTGTGTGTGTGTGTGTGCGTTTAAGTAATCATAAGGAAATCTGTCTCCCAAAGTGGAAAAAACAAGTATTGTGACAATGCCAACATTGCCTGACTTTGGCTCTTGTCAAAAATAATTCTTGAATCTGGATGGTGGTGGCCCACACCTTTAATCCCAGCACTCAGGAGGCAGAGGCAGGTGGATCTCTGTGAGTTTAAGGGCAGCCTGGTCTACAGAGTGAGTTCCAGGACAGCCAAGGCTACACAGAGAAACCCTGTCTCAAAAAAAAAATCTTGGCTCTAAAGTAATGCACCCTCACTTCTGGTCCAGCTGTCAACAACGATTTATGTAAATGAAAACGCCATGTTCAAGACCAGGGGCCTATGCAGCTTCCAGACTCAGTAAAATCCTTGGACTTTGGCATTTGGTGACAGGACACTGCCACCGAGCCAAAGTGGGTCAAATTGTGCTCAGTCCAGAGGCAGGTTAAAATGACCAAGCAGGAAGTGATCACACATATTATTTCCCTGCACACAAACCACCACCAGATGTGGCCTTACCCCAAAGCCCCTTGAGCAGAGAGATGAAAGACAGCCTGGGATTTGAAGTCAGTTTCTAATACAAGGGATTGCTGGTTTTTTGTTCTTCCCTTTTCTTAGAAGTAGGGTAAAGGTAGCTATGTGTGTGCTCTAGGAGTGTCTGAGAGGATTAGAGCCACCGCCCCTGTACCTGTTACTGAAATGATTTAGGTTGAAATGAAGATAAAATCACTTGAGAACGTTCTACTTTTGAGCCCACTTTACCACTATGTTTGTCCCTTTTAGCCCCTCCCCTGATGGTCAATTCATGACATAGGACCTGCCCTACGTGTGACGCCTCAGTTTCCCACTTATCTCTTAGGAGTCACTGCTTATGTTTTACCAAAGTCACCATCAGCAGCAACAGTTTTGTGGGCACACGTATTCAACATCCTCTCTGTTTGGGAGGATGCTGATGCATGGACACATTGACCTAAATAACTGTAATTAGGGCATGCCACTAAATGGCAACCTTCTGAGATAACATCACCCTTTTCATTCCTGGTTACCCACCAAGCTGGTCTTAACAGTCATTTCCAGATAACTCTCACCATGTCAATCAGTGACCGAATGGCTGACATTTAAGAAAGTAACATTCTGGAGTGTTCATGGATGGAAAGATAATCAGAGGCACAAATGAAGGCTTTCCCACTTCCATAGCTCTGCTTAGGGGGAAACACCTTCTGCAAGAAATCAAGAGGCCTCCCGTTCAGTGCACCCTCCCCAGATCTGTCATTCAAAACGTTGACTCTCAGATCCAGGCTCTCCCGACCATGGGAACACACCTCAGGGACTGAGGTCATCTTCACAGACTTAACTGCTTTCCAACTGCCGAGTGGACAAAGGCTAATGGAACACTTTTATTTTCTTTCCTAGACTTTGTGTCTTTTTACCTCTGAATTGTCAGACAGCTGATGAACAAAACCACTGAATGGGCACCTTTTAAACACCAAGTCAGTTGTCAGTTAGCCAAGCTGGGGTTGTCTAGAGAGCATACTGAAGAGACAGAAGAGGAGGAAGGCCTTCTGAGTTTTGGTCTTCCCTCCAGCTTTAGGACTCAACTGTCTCCTCACTCAGACTTGTTATCTTGATATATGGAGTCTCAGAAATGTAAGTGGAAGAAAATGAGTTTGGCAAGATGGCAAAGGAACGCGATAATGGGTTTAAATGATGCAACAGGAAATCCGTTCCTAGGTGGTGTTGGCAGTTCAATGTTGCCAGGGTGGGGGTGGGGAATCTGGGATGCTGGACATTGGCACATTTGATGCTTGAATGGGCACAGGGGCGGGACTGCAGTTCTGGATCAGCCTCCCTTTATGCTATTTGTCTACTATGTAGTAGGTTCTAAGTGTCAGTTTTCATGAGCAACAGATTTTAGAGACATATTGAAAAAATAATAAAATGCCACTGAAAACCACAGTTATAAAAAATAATCTAGTGTCTTTAATCCCTGCACAGTTTTTAACTGTTAACCGCTTCCATGATGCAGTTTTTAATCTCAAAGTAATTGCAGCTTTGACTACATGATTGTGTTTTGCTTTTGTTTTTGCAAAATCCTTCATTCGGGCTCTAAGTGTTAAACGGAGCTTAAAGCAGCCATTGCATCCGGTCTCTTCTATGGTGTGGTCAGCAGCTAATGGAGACAGGAACAAAGTGGAGTCATTGTGCAACAAGATTGTCTAACAACAGATTGCTATCAAAGACGAGGCAGGTTCAAACAAAAAAGTTACATGAAACTGCTGCCCCGTGGAGCAAGTAAAATGAAGACTGTTAGGAATACACACTTGGTGTTTTTTTTTAACTTTCAGAAGAAAAAGTGTACTACGTTGGTAAAAATCTAGTTTCCTCCTGAAACCCCTGTGCTTTCATTAGCACAACTGAAGCAATGAGAAAGAATAAGAAAAATAACTCCTGGACTCACAGATAAACATCAATTATTCACTTAAAGCTTAGGTCTCGCTATGTAGCTCTGGAACTGTCTACGTAGAGACTACATTGTAGACCAAGTTGGCTTTGAACTCACAAAGATCCTCCTGTTTCTGCCTTCCAAGTGCTGGGTTTAGAGGTGAGTGCCATCACACTCTATTTTCGTCACTTACTTTAGAAATGTTATTATCAGCAGTAGCATATGTGCTTGTCTAGAATGGTCAAGGCCCTGGGTTTGAGCTTCAGCAATGCAAACAAAAAGCCTTACTCTCTCTAGAACTCATGATTATTCACAAAAAGTTTAAGTATAATTGGTATGAAATGTGGCCTCATGAACATTATAAAGATCAAGGAGATGAAGTCCATGGTCATCTGTTGTTTCTTCTGGCCATCTGTACTTCTCTAGGCAGCAGGAATACTGCGACTATTTCACTCATGGCATCTGCTGTAGAGACTTGGGCTGAACATGCAATGACTCATGTATTTCCATTATTAGACCAGTGAAGCAATGCACTGTGCGTTCTTCAGGGGTAGGGGGCTTAGCTTTTCCTCATCGTTGCAAACAGGTCATGGCACATACAGAATCGAACCAGCAATGTCTGAATAAAAGAAAGAACCAGCAAGACAGTTCTGTCACTGTGCATTGGCATTCCTTGGGAGGCTTGTCTTTACTCTGAGGCCTCTTCATCAGTCTCCTTCCAGGGAGGCCTGCTTTCCAGGACAGACAGCTCTGTCCCTGGCTTGGCTGTCATTTTACACTGCAACTTAACTCACTTTTTTACATTTGATGCAGGGTCTTGCTACCCCACCCTCCAACTGAGAACCCTCCCGCCCCAGCCTCCTGCTGTCACACTCAGCTGCACTTTGGTTTAAACATGTGCTTGCTGTATGAGTGTGACATGCACAGCAACCCTGAAATAGCGTTTTAGAAGTGACGAGGGGAATAAAGATTTAGAATGTACCACCCTGGAGCTGGGGATAAGTATAGCTACCTGAATGCCTAGTCTGCAGAAAGCCCTGGGTTCTGTTCCCCGTCCCACATCAAACTGGGCATGGTGGCACATTCTTGTAATCACAGGACAGACAGAGGTGGAGGCCGAGATCAGAAGTACAAGCTTAGGAGGGAAAATTACTGCATTGGTCAGTAATACAGGGAGAGAACCCTGAATCCATACTGGACTCCTAGTTACAGGAAGGAAATAGAAATGAAAACCATAATGGTGTCAGTGAAGGATGGGCTTCTGTTAGATCAAAAAGAAATGTGTAGTCACCATTTAAAACCCAACAGACCCAGAAATATAGTACAGGCATGTGATACTTATACTTGATTAAACTGTGACTTTTCCCATTTTGTAATCTAAAACCACCACTATGGCATACTTAAAAAAAAAACAAAAAAACAAATCACAGCCAGGCATGGTAGTGTACACAGCAGAGGCTGGTGGATCTCTGAAGGCTCAGGTTAGCTAGAGGTACATAGCAAGGACCTATCTCAAAAAAAAAAAAAAAGGAAGAGAAGAAAAGACAAAACAATCAATCAGAACTTGCTGACTTGGTTAACCCTTGACTTTTTGCTGAGACTTAAAATATGTTGCACGCATCCATCAAACAGCCCTATGGATGCAAATTAGCTGAGTCGGCAGCTCAGCACCTCCTGCCCCATCACTCTGAACAGCCTAAATACTTCTTTTGGTAACTTTTAAAATTGAATTCCTAAAATGGCATGGGGATGTGAAGTAAAAGTTACTTCAAAAATAATCATTTCAACATTGTATATGGGATAGAACTTGCTGATTCCTTCTTCTATTTCCAGGAGAATCAACACACACACACACACACACACATATGTGTATGTGTCCATTCAATATATGTTGCTATGTTTCTTTTGCTGCCCAGATAATATATGATCACTAAAAATATAGCTTATTATTTCCCAAAGGGAAAATAAATTCCCTGTCTATTAACTGATGACTAGAAAAGCACAATGTGGAGAATTCACACAATGGACAAAAAAGAACTAAGCACTAATACATGTTTCAGCATAGGTGAAGCCAAAATCATTACGTTTGTTAGAAGAAGACTTAAAACGTTTCACATGATGTGGTTGCACTTATGTGCAATATCTGATAGGGAAATCAATAAAGACCAAAAGTATGTGAGTTGTTGCCAGTCATGGGAGGGAGGAAAATGACTGTAAGCAGGCAGGAGGTCTCTCTTGGGAGTGGTGAAATGTTCTGGAATTAGATAATGAAGATGGTTGTACAGCTTTATTTATTAATTTATTCTTCGTTGTCATTTTTTTAGGAAGAATCTCTCTACCTAGTTTTGGCTGTCCTGGAACTCTCTGTGTAGACCAGGCTGGCCTCAAACTCTGCCTTCCTCTGCCTCCCAGTGCTGAGACTGAAGGATGTGTCATCATGCCTGGCTGCTATAGAATATGACTTAACCTTAACTTGTACTTTAAAAATAAAAAACATTGCCAGACAAATATATGTGTGCACATGTGCACTCCTGTGCCTGCATGCACACACAAACCAAACCAAACCAAACCAAACCAAACCAGCACACTGAAGCTCTAGTGAGTTTTAAGTTAGCCACTGGATTTTGACAAGTCTTTGTTTTCCCACTTCTAAATCGAGAAGGTAGAATTAGCTGTTTCTTTTATGGGCAAACACTAACTCACTACTAAGCCACTTAAGATGGCAAACACCAAGCTTTCGTTGTTTTTCTTAAGGTAACAGCAGCACTCTTCAGAAACAAGGAGGAACGAAAGTCCTTGATAAAACTCAAGATGCCATCAGGAAAAAAGGCAGAAGCAAGCAAAGACCCAGAGTCTGGACTCTTAGGGGAGGCCTGGACCCTGCCCTGAGTGAAATGACAGACTCTGGATATCCCCTATGTGGAAGGAAGTGGCAATAGGGTGGGAGGCTGGGGGGATGGTGGGGGGTGCGGGAGGAGGCAAGGGAGAGGGAACTGGGATTGACATGTGAAGCAAGCTATTTAAAATTAAAATAATGATAACAATAATAATAATAATAATAAACAATTCAAATCCCTGGGGAAAATAGGAAACCCCTCACAGCCAAGTACAAACATCACAGTAAGTCACACGTGCGGACAAGGACATCATCAATCGGCCCTGTGCAAAGAAAATCTTTCCACGTTTTAGCTGATTAATCCTAACCACTCCCCAGTCTTCTCCACCCTCCGCTATTGCCATTCCATCACTGTTAGGAAACCCTGTTGACTCTGCCTTTGAAACGAGTTTACAGAACCACAACACTGTAACTCCCATCACTGCCAAGACACAGTTTCCTCTGGCTTGAATTCTTGCCACAGATTCCTAACTGGATTCCCCAAGATCTATCTGGCCTTGTCCTCAGCACAATCTACTCTCAGCAACAAAGTAGGGTGATGACTTTCAAATGAGAAGTCTGATGATGTCATCTGTCTGTGCTCAAAGATTTTCAGTTTCACTTGAAGGTCTTTACAATGGCCTACAAGGCCCGATAAGATCTGGTTTCCCCTTTCCCCTCTGGCTTCATGTCCCATATCTCATTCTGTTCCAGGCACACAGGGCTATATTTACATTTCTTCAAGTTGGAACGTCAGGACCTTTGCACATACTGATCCCCAGTGATCTGTGGGGCTGGCTGCCCTGCCTTCCAGTCCATCAAGACAACACCTGGTTGATGCCTTCCCTGGTTCACCCCTTAGCCTACACTTCCTGCTCTACTTTTCTCCACAACACTCACTATCTCTCCTTGCCTATTCGTTCTGTCTACAATCTGTCTCCATTACCGGGGAGGGCGAACGCTCACCGACAAGTGGGGAATGAGCCCTGTGGAACTTACTGGCATCCCCCAGGTCGGGGTTCTGAAGAAACGTGCGGCATCGTTCCTTGTGCTCCTCCAGGGAGCTCCGCTGCTTGTAGCTCCTTCCGCAGAACTCACACTTGTAGGGTTTCTCCACTAGAAAGAAAACAGAGCACTCAGGGACCCCACACACAGAGACCCCGGCTCTCAGGAGACTGGTCTCTAGGAATGAGGCTGCTGGCCCGGCCAGACCAACGCCTTGAAAGTCTCTGTTGATGTCAAATCTGTTAAGCTGAAACAGGGCTACAGTCTAGCAGGGGACTATTGCACCAGAGTATTGAAAAGGATGGCCTCCTAGCACAGATGGAAAGATCTGTAGCATGTGACTGCTGTTTGACTTGGTGTTTGGCTCCTGGTTAAATCATGTTTCTTTTTGATTAGCAAAAGCAGGTCTCAGGGATGGAGAGATGGCTCAGCCGTTAAGAGCACTGGCTGCCCTTTCAGAGAGCTTTGGTTCCCAGCACCCAAGGGATGGCTCACACTGGCTCTAACTCCAGTCCCAGGGGATCTAGAGTTAAAAATAAAGGGAAGGAGGGAGGGAGAGAGAGAGAGAGAGACAGTGGAAGAGAGGAGGAGAGAGAGGGAGGGAGAGAGGGAGGGAAGGAGAGTGACAGAGAGACAGACAGAGACAGATAGAGAGACAAAGAGACACAGGGAGACACACACACAGAGATCAGGGTCCTTTATTCTTCAAGGAGGGTAGTGTGATGTCAGAGGGAACTGGGGCCAGGTGTGGTTGTGTGGTTGTGCACACCTTTAATCCCAGCACAGACAGGAGGCTCTTTGTGAGTTTAAGGCCAGCCTGGTGTACATAGAGAGACACTACCTCAAACCAAAAACAAAGCAAATTATTTGGGACCTGGAACAGTGGTTCAGTAATCTAGGTCACTTGCCTGCTAGGCTGGAGAGCTTGTCCCATGGTGAGAGCACTCTTTGCTCTCTAAGAGGATCTGGGTTTGGTTCCCAGAACCCATGTGGCAGCTCATCAACGTCTATACTAACTCTACTTCCAGGGAATCTGATGCCCTCCTCTGACCTCCTTTGGCACATGTATACAGGGAAAACACTCATTCACATAAAATTAATCAAATGGGAAACTATCCTTCCTATTTTGTGATGTCTATATAACTGTGGTCTGTGGGCATTAGAATTGGGCTAGCCTGCCAAGTGGCTTTTAACAAGTATGGCCAAAGACAGGGCTGATTAACAAAGAACATTTTTTAAAAATTTATTTAACTTTATTTTACGTGCATTGGTGTGAAGGTGTCAGATCCCCTGGAACTGGAAGACAGTTGTGAGCTGCCATGTGGGCACTGGAGACCGAACTCAGGTCCTCTGGAAGAGCAGTCTGTGCTCTTAACTGCTGAGTCATTTCTCCAGTCCCAATAAAGAACATTTGTAATAATACAATAAAGAACAAATTGTAGGAGCCAGGCATAGTTGTATATGCATTTAATAACAGCACCCTGGAGGCAGAGGCAGGTGAATTTTTATGAGTTTGAGGCCGGCCTGGTCTACATAGTTAGTTCCAGGACATCCAGGGCTACCTAGTGAGACCCGAGACCCTGCCTAGAAAAACAAGCAAACAAACAAACAAAAGGAATGAATTGCAAAAAGGACTTCAAATAATTTTCTAAAACAAATCAAAAGTTTCCTCATAAGTTTGCCCATATCTGTTGATAAAACTCAACCTAAAAAGATGTCGGCGTTTTAGAGACCAAATGTGTTTTTCTCCTTTTCCTCTTGTTATGCTAAGGTGATTAAACCAGGAACCTGTGCCAGTCATCTGGCTCCATCATGAAATGTTTTATCTTCCAATTCCTCTTGCTTTTTGAATAGTAGCATCCTCAAAAGATCCTTATGAAATCCCAAACCAAAATAAAGCACAGGTATGCAATGCCTAAAAATGCTATATTTCCATATAATTTGGGTACTCTGGGATATGTCTCAAGAGACTCATCAGTACTAAGCTTGAAAAAGGGCAACAGGAGAGAAATCTTCTTTCTTTCCATCAGACCCTTTCCTAATTTGCTACATTGACAAATGAGCTAAAGAGAAAGAAAAGGAAAAGCCCTCCTTGCCACATGTGATCTATCATGGGTTTTGCTGAGATCGGCTTGTTTAATCTTATTCTGAACTGTGAGCAGTTTTGAGATCAGGGTTTAGTCAAAGCAGTAATGTGGACTGACATAAAAACAAACCTCTCTCTCTCTTTAAATTAAAAATTTTGCCAGATAACATCAAGAACACAAGGTCCCAGTTTTGAAAATAAGACTCGCCTTATTTTTCTAAGAGGGAAATTCTAAATGTTAAAAAAAAAAAACAAACCAAGTGTCACCTTGCTTGTTCAAAATAAGGATTGAAAAGTTGGAGGCAGCATGTGGCTTTTTAAGAATTCTTGTTGTTGCTTTTAGAGCTTAAAAAAGCGGGGTGAGGAAGGGGAGAGTTGGGGTTAGGAAATTTAGCCAGAAGCTGGGTAAGGTGGTGCACGCCTACAATTATAGTACACAGAAGGTAAAGGCAGGAAGATGGCTACAACTTTGAGGCTAGCCTGGTTTAGCCAGGACTAAAAAGAAGGGCCCCAGCTCAAAAAATAAAACAATAACAAAACCAAGCAAGCAACAAAAAGAATAAGAAATTAATCCCAGATCAATGAAAAGGAACCTGAAATAATAATTTATGCCTGATTTAAAATGTTATTATTGTTTTAAATTATGTGATATCTGTTGTGTTGAGTACAGGACTTTGTGGTGACCAAAGACGTGGGACCTCCTGGAGATGGAGTTGAAGTTGGCTGTGAGACAACAGATTCTGTTGGTGCCAAGAGTGAAACCCTGGTACCTTGGAAGAGCAATCTGAGCTCTAACCACTTAGCATCCTCTTCAGACCCCTGCTTCGCACTTTTTAATAATTTACAAGCTGTACATAGTTTGCTTGTGTAGTTTTTCCGAATGGAAGACTGGGAAACAGGTGTGTGTTTATTAAGGAAATAGTTCTTTTTATAAGGTTTACCATAAAAATACTGATGGCCACAATTTTTCTCACAAAAACTACAAAGGCGTTGCAATTTGTCTGCTGTTCTCCAGACACAAGGATGCTGGAGAGAGTTTCCACTGAGGCAGACGGAGAGCAATTAATGTCTTAATGGAAGTGCGGTTAGCCCTAGAGGTCTCTGTTGATGAAAACCTTCAGAGGGCCGTGACAGATTGAAGCCGCCACACTTAACTCTTTCTTGTTTTCACAGTCACTAGACGTGCAGTGCTTGTGTCCCTCACTTACCAGAATGTGTCCTCAGGTGTCCCGTGAGCGCATCTCTCCTTTGGCATGCGTAGTTGCAGAGGTGGCACTTGAAAGGTTTTTCCCCTGTGTGCAGCTTAATGTGGCGCAGGAGGTTGCCTTTCTGAGTAAAAGATGCCCCGCACTGATTACACTGGAATGGGCGTTCACCTTCAGAGAGGATGAAAAGGGAGAGCTCTGATCACAAAGTGAGGGGATAGCATGTGCAAAGACTAGATGCCCACCTCCTGGGTGGTTCTGCCCTCAGTGAGAGATCACTTGGGAGCTACATTTTGAGGTGAAGAGACTTGTGGGATCTTCTTCCTTGAAGAATGAACACTCCCAC